AAGGGTATCACTTTGACAATTATAACCAGGAAGATAGGGATTGTTAGAATAACCAACTGCTATAGTAATAATAAACTCACGATCATTAAGAATAACTTTCGTTTTTTGTCCAATACGAATAGGAAAGTATGTTATATCTTTATTGTCAAAAACTTTATTCGTTTTCTACCAAAAACGGGAATACGGCCCATAATGTAAAACTTCATCCAAAGCACCTAGCTCTAATAAAGTAACCTGGGCTTGACGGATTCTTTTTGCCATTTTGTACTTGAGTTTCAGATTCCCGCGCTATAATAAAATTTATTATATCGATTATCTCCAATTTTTCTAACAATAATTACGTGATTAGTGCCGATTATAACCGAATCAGCAATTAAGGATATTACTTCATCTACTACATTGGTGTCAACTATTACTATCAAATTTCTTTTATATCTTAATTCACAAATTTATCATAACATTTGGATACCTTATTGTATCTCTCGTTCTTCAATTCAATTTTCTAATAATTCTACATCTTCTCTACTAGTTTTATCTCTTTCTACCTATCAGTCTTCTCAACCCTACCACTTACTATAGCTAGGCTAAAATTGGATTATAGTATTCATTATAGATCAAATATCAAACAAATTTACTAATTCACAAATCTAGGTAAACCATGACCACTCTAGTTAGTTTAGGCCGCAGATAAATTAGTTTGAGTTTCTTTTTTTGCTATCCTAGGATATAAAATTTAAATAGATTCTTTTCTTTATAAGGATTTTCTTTTCATTGTAGAAGAATTAAATTAAATTTAATAAAGTCAAAGACATAGTCTCACTATTAATATTCAAAAAAAAACTTTTAATCTATTGGTCTATTTAGAATAATTTTACTACCAAAATGTTCATCTCAGTGAAAGGATTCTAACAAGCTCAAAATCATTAAAATCTAATTACAGAATTCTGAAATTTTGTATTATTTTATTAGTAATTTTTAGATTATTATTAAAAATATCTTTGATATTAAATAACTTTTGATATATTAATCTATTTTTGATAATTTTATTACCAAATTATTCATCTTAGTAAGATGATTCTAATAAGTATAAAATTGTCAAATTCTAATTACTAAATTCTAGGATCGTTAAATATTAATATATATATAGATAATTAACTTAAAAATATAAATTTATATATACAACCCATTTCTAAATTGATTGTCTATACATATATTAATCTTTAACAATCTCAGGATCTAGTAATTAAAATTTGATTATTTTATACTCATTAGAATTGTCTCACTGAGACAAATATTTTGGTAGTAAAATCATCAGAAATGGATCAGTATATCAAAAGTTATTCAATATCAAAAATATTTTTAATAGTAACCCAAAAATTACTAATAAAATAATACAAAATTATCCCTTAGATTGTAGTAGAATACAGGCAAATTTGCCTGCGTTTTTACACTTTTTTAGCTCTGATTTA